GAGTTTCCACATAGAACAGAGCAAGACCAGCTGCCAAGGGATAAGTACTGTTGCAGGATCAAGCGATCGTAATACGTCGCGTTGTGGCGTCTGGCAAGGCCTGATAAGGGGCCTGGCGAGACTCTAGAGGTGACCAAAGACCAGCTTGCAAAGGGCCCTCGTCATCCTGGCGTTTGGATGCTGCATTAAGGAGCCTAAATCACACCCTGAAAATGATGATGTATCACTGAACAGTTCTAAACAGGTAAATAATAAAGGAGCAGGTTCATGTGTAGGAAAACTCTCTCTGGTAACACTGTGAGTGAGGACGTTGGGAGAGACAGGAGTATTCAGAAGTCTGGATGAAAATGGAGCCAATCTTAAGGTAAACAGTGGCAGTCGGAACAGGGTGGAATTTCTCTGTGTTGTTTTTTTGAGACACAATTCATACGTAAGGTACTAAAGGTCTTGATTATTTTACAAATGTAGAAAGTATTCTCTTTTATAGAACAGCAGGTACTTTTTTCTTTTTGTATCCTCACCCGAGGACATTTTTGCATTTATCTATCTTCAGATAGAATGGGGAGGAGGAGAGACAGAGAGAAACATCAAAAACATCAATGTGAGAGAGACTCATTGTTGACTGGTTGCCACCCACACGACCCCAACCAGGGCAGGGACAAACCGCAACCAAGGTACGTGCCCTTAGCGGGAACCAAACCCGGGTCTCTCTGGTCCACCCGCTGACGCTCCAACTGCTGACCCAAACCGGCCAGGGCCAGCAGGTACATTTTAAGGAAATAAGATACACACATGGGTGATACTCTGCGGGCCAACCAGGATGTGAAAGGGGGCTCCTACACAGCAGAGGTGGAATCTTGGGGCTCTTCAAGTGAGACAAAGGGGCACAGGGCCCCACTCATTCTGTGTTGTCTAAATTCCTACTTCTCCCTACTTGTGTTGTGTTCCATTTCTTATACCTCATCAGGAAACAAAATCTATGGAATGCATGAGTGAATAAATCAATGTAGCTAGCTAAATATTTTTAAAATGTATTTCTATGTATTTCATACATGTATGGCACATCTGTTAACTTGCATTGTTATTTTTATATTCATTGTGGTTCTGGTAGTTAGGTTGCTTTAGAGTTCACTTTAAATAAGATGAGAATTTTCTTTTACTTGCGAGTAAAATGTTAAGCAAGCATTTGTAATGGTTGCAAAATCCAACCAAAAAAATAAAGTCTAAGGCCAATATTACATTATGATAAAACTACAGCTACTGGGGGGTGGGGTGGTAAAAAAGAACAAAAAACTTGAAAGATTACAAGAAAAAAACACAAAAAACAGTCCTTTGCAACGCCAACCTTTAACCTTGCCAGTATCTGCGAAAACAGCTATTCCCAGTTGGAGAACTTTGAACTTAGAAAGCAACGTTCCTGCGACTCATTAAGTGGTCTATCATTCTTCCGATTATTTGTGTTTAGTAGGGCATGATAATTCCTCACAGATGCCACAGTCCCAGTACATCATAATTCTTCACCGTACAGGCATGATGGAGCCCTGGTTTTCAAGGGGAGATGTTGAGACTAAAGAGGTACTTTTCTCACTTTTCCATTTGTAGACCCAAAATCAGTCTGCAGTTAAGTCTCCAGTGAATCAGTTTTAGGAAGAAAAAAAATACAGACACCCACACGCAGCATTGTTTTAATCCGGGTATGTGACTGTTTAACCAGGAGACAGAAGGATAGTGTTAAATACATGTGTTAAATGTATGTTAAATACATACATAGTGTTAAATAATGTTAAATAATGTTAAATACATCCTCCATATCTGTCAGTCAACTCAGTCTTTTTTTTTTTAAATAATTTTGAAGAGAGAGGAAGGGACAGGGAGAAAGAGAAACATCAGTCCAGGGACTGAGCTGCCTGGGCATGTGTCTTGAGAGGGAATCGAACAGGTGACCTTTTGACACACAGGACTATGCTCAACCAACTGAGCCACACCAGCCAGGCAGGGCTCAATTTTGTCTTAACTGCTGATGGGTCTTTGATGATAGGCTATTCTACCAGTAGACGGAATCCACATAAAAAGGTTCTGTGAAAACACACATTTTAGAGATGTTTTATTTGTTTTAGATACATTTGAGACTATATGGAATGAGTATATTTTTGACTGCACAATGGCTTCCAAAATATGCTTTATTGTTCACTAAAGTAGAAGTTATTTTTATAAATCATATGCCCTATTATTTCACATGGTATAAAATTACGGGTATTCATTATATAGAAAGCTGAAAGTTGTTATTACTGAATTGTAAATTCTAACCCTATGTTGATAATGTATTGGCTTCAAGATAAATATTTTTTTTAAAGTCTCATTTTTCTGAAACTTTTGCATACATTCAGTGTTTTTAATCATAGGTGTTATCCATCATTATTGCTTAACAGCCAAGCAGTGATTGCTGAGATCTGAGCTATTTCATAGAATACCACTGCATATGGATCATAAAACCAACAGGAATGAGAATAATAACAACTATCCAAGCCAGCTGTGAGATTTAAACACGGTGAGATCAGATGACCAAAATATATTTTTCTGTATTATTTTAACCTTGGTTGCAGTCCCTGGCTTGCTGCTCCAAAAACCCTTGGAGTTTTCTGTGTTAAGAGGGATAATGACAACTTTTGTTATGTTAATGGGGTAAATTCAGGAAAGTAAACTAGGGATAGTAGGCTGATTGTCAGGAGAAAAGACCCTGTGACTAGAGGGTTGGAACTTTCTGTCCCCCACACCACCACCTCTGGGAGGGGAGGGGGCTGAAGTGTGAGTCCATTTGCCAAGGGCCAATGATTTAATCAATTAAGTCTGAAGTCTCTATAAAACCCCAAAAGGACAGGGTCCAGAGAGCTTTCAGGTTGGTGAACACATGGACCTTCTGAGACAGTGGCTTGCCTTACGCATTTCTTCCATCTGACTGTTTCTGAGTTATAACCTTTTATGCTGAATTGGTAATCTAGTGAGTAAACAAGTTTCTGGAGTTCTGGGAGCCAATCTGCAAATTAATCAAACCCAAGGAGGGGCTGTTGGGAACCTCTGATCGGTAGTACAGTTATCGGTGTGAGATTGCTACTGGCATTGAAATGGGTCAGTCTTATAGGACCGCGCGATTAACCTGTGGAACGTGACACTGTCTCTGGGTTGACCGTGTCGAAATGGAGTTGAGTTGTAGGATACCTACTTGATGTCCAGAGAATTGTTTGGTGGTGGTGGGGAGCCCCTCACCACATGAGTTGGAATTGGGATCTGGACACTTACATAATGTAAAGTGTGTTTGACAACCCTGTGCAAGTGGATGTTAGAAGCAGATAATTTATGTCGTGGGAAATTCTATTTAACATGAGTAAAATATTTAGAGATGTTTTTAAAATTCTAATCTGTTACAGCCATGCACCACTCCATGTAGATATGCTCTGAGAAATTTGTCTTTAGGCAATTTTGTCCTTGGGCGAACATCATAGAGTGTACTTACATAAACTTAGATGGTCTCGCCTACTACACACATCAGCTGCATGGTATAGCACACTGCTCCTAGGCTACACACCTGTACAGCAAGTTACTGTACTGAATACTGCAGACAATTGTAACACAAGGGCAAGTATCTGTGTATTTAATCATATAAATGCTAAGTGAAATAAGCCAATCAGAGAAAGACAAATATCACATGCTCTCACTTATCTGATGAACAAAATAGGTCTAGACATGGAAGCATGAAACAGACTGACAGATCCCAGAAGGAAGGGGGTAGGGACTGTAATGAGATTAAGCAAAGAATTTATATGCATATATGCATACCCCATGGACGCGGACAACAGTGCACCATGAAGGCCTGGGATGGGGTGGGAGCCCGGTGGAGGGTGTCAGTGTGTGGTGGGGGGATATCAGTAATACTCTCAACAATAAAGATAAGTGTTTAAAAATAAACATGAAAATAGAACAGTGAAAAATATGCTACAAAAGATAAACGTAGTATACTTGTGTAGGGCACTTCCCATTAACGGAGTTTGTAGGAATGAAAGTTGCTCTGGGCGAGTCGGTGAGTTAGCGGTGACTGAATGTGGAGGCTAGGACATCACTGCACATGACCGGAGACTGAATACTGTACACTGAGTATTCCATAACACTAACGTTATAAAACAACCCGAGATTAAACCAAGCACAAGAAAACATGATGTGATCGAGAGACATAAACACGAGATGTATGAGGCTGATGCTGGCATAACATGGCATTCTCTTTCAGGGAATCTTTTTTTGTTTTTAATCCTCACCCGAGGATATTTTTCCATTTATCTTCAGATAGAGTGGGAGGGAGGGAGAGAGAGAGAGAAAGAGAGAGAAACATCCATGTGAGAGAGACACATCGACTGGTTGTCCCCTGCATGACCCCGACCAGGGCCGAGGACCAAACCGCAACCGAGGTACATGCCCTTGACTGGAACTGAACTCTCGACTCTTCGGTCCACACACCAATGCTCTAACCGCTGAGCCCAACCAGCCAGGGCTGGAAATATTTTCTTTACTAAGTAAAAAGAATATATTCTAAAATAATGATAAGAAGTACAGTATGGTAAATACATAAACCAATAACCTATTTCTTATAATTATTAAGTATTATGTACCATACAGAGTTGTGTGTCCTATACTTGACTGACATTGCAGTAGATTTGTTTACACCAGCATCACCACAAACACAGGAGGAATGCATTATGCTATGAGGTTATGATAGCTCTGACATCAGTAGGCAGAAGAAAATTTTCAGCTCCATTATAATCTTATGAGGCCATCATTGTACATGTGATCCATCATTCACTGAAATACTGTTATGTAACATCTGACTGTATTTTATATATGAGAGAGATGAATTTTATAAGAAGTCAAACACAGTGATGCCCTTTGCTATGTTTTATTTTACTATTAGCTTGTTCAACGTAACATGCAAATAATAAAAAAAGAAACATGCACATGATTTAAAGTGAAAAATAATTCTAGAAAAGTTTCTCTAGGTAACCATATACATTCCTAATACTAAGAATTCTGCTTTAAATGCATGCTTCATGAATTTTATTTAGTATTTCACACAATCATTGGTCTCAAAATTTATCACCTGCTGTGCAGCTAAACAAATTTGGACATATTAAGATAATTTGATTCAAGGCAGTAAACATCCTTAGGTGTGTAGTCCATGCTTTGGGGCAGACTAAGTTAAGATTACTGGTCGCTGATTTCCATGCGACCAGTGAAAGGCTTTGCACATTATTTGATGAGAGAGATGTAAAATACACTAAATTTACAAATAAAGCATTAAGTTTGTTGTATATGAGTATGTGTCTTTGCTTGTGATGAAATAGGCCTGCTTTTCATCTTTTCTGTTTAAAAAAGTAATAAAATGTTTACAAAACATTTTCTCTCGGAATTTTAAATTCATGGAAGTAATCAACAACAATAAAAATGAACACCCTAAAAACCAACACAAAAATATATAACCATACAATGTTGCTCCAGGATATACCTCCATATAATTGAAATGAGCAGATCTCAATTAAGGGTAATTTCATTTGCAACACGTAGACATTCATACATATCAGGCGGCAGATCAGTCTGGGAGATATTATTGCCATCCAAACGCAAATGCTTGATCTTGGAGTAGGATAATGGTCCCAGGATCTTACAGAAGCTCTTTACATCAAATTCTGGAAATGAAAGAATAAAAATCTTTAATCATTTTTTCTTTTTTATTACATGGCTCAAAATAATCATTAAAATTTTTTTCAAGTCCATGATAATACATGAACTTGTATTTCTTCCCATTTCTTTAAAGAAACTTATTTGATGTATCTTTGAATTTGGAATTACTAAAGAAATATTCCAGACTAGCAAATGATACATACACTATTTAGTGAAATAACTATGGTGGATCAGGATTGTCAATGGAATTTTTCAAAGAAAATATATTTATGGTAAGTTCTTGGTTTAGAGAAACTTGGTTTTAGAATGACTTTTAATAAGTCTATCATGCCCTGGCCGGTTTGGCTCAGCGGTTAGAGCGTCGGCCTGCGGTCCTGAGAGACCCGGGTTCGGTTCCCGCTAAGGGCATGTACCTCGGTTGCAGTTTGTCCCCGGCCCTGGTTGGTCGTGTGGATGGCAGCCACTCGATGTGTCCCTTTCACATCGATGTTTCTCTCTCTCTTCCTCTCTCCCCCTCCCACTCTACCTGAACAAAAAATAGAAAAATGTCCTCAGGTGAGGATAAAAAAAATAATAATAAGTCTATCATATTATCTAAGAACTTTCAGAACTATTTAGTCTGAAGATATGTAAAATTGGTTCTGTTGTATGAATCACCTCGCCAACATAAGCATCCTGAGTTTTTGCATCTGGAAATGAGAGGGATTAACTAGATGACCTCAAAAGAGTTTTCCAACCAGCACACACCATGACAGATTCAAAACTCCAAGGCAAAAACCAAATCATGGAATGAACACCATCTGAGCCACACCCTTTTCTGTGGGCACAAAGCTGTCACAAGAGAAAACTTGATTTAGTTTTTAAAGGGAACTAAGATTGTTACTGGACTGCATGGTTTATGGGTATACATAGAAGCTGTCTATATTTGCTCAAATCTATTTCAGATTAAATTTACCTGGTCCTTGAGCTTGTTATTTCCTTTTATTTTCACATTCTAGTGAACAGTGACTTCAGTGGAAGCCCAAACACACTCTGTTTCTTACCTCAATGATGCTGTCCTAAATAAGTCATTAGTCAAATTCCAGGGATCTTTGTTATGGTGTCCACTGCTGAGGAAGTATAAGACGATGGAAAACGCATGGGCGTAGGCCTATATTAGTTTTCTGTCTTGGCCATTTAAAACTGGGTGACTTTGGAATATCTATCTGATCTTCTTGTTAGATATAACCTATCTATCACACTGTGTTGCATGAAGATTAAATTTATTAAGTATATAAAGCACTTCAAGGATTGTTAGCACATAGTGGGTACTAAATAATTACTGATATCCTTTATATATTGTTCTTTTTTCCAAATCACATCACAACGGGAAGGTTCTGTGACTAGGCTATATTCTTAGACTTGCAAGTTTAAAATGTGAGAAATAGTTTTGGCTATAGATTTCCTAATGGTAGAACAACATTACAGGGCTCTTTTATCTAATAAAATGTAGACATTTGGTATACATAATTATTACATGGCAAAATAAACTAAGTGGAAGATATATATGCAAAGACCAATGACAAAAATTCTTGAAATATATATATTCCTAAATGTCAAGGGTAAGGAAGGAAGAAAGGTAACTACTCATTTCCAAATGACCATATGTGATGGGCACGGTGGTTTCGATCTGAGCTTTGCACTGAGTGGCTGTCGGCGTTTCTCTCATAGACCACCTTTCCCACCTCCTACATTGGCTCTTCCTTCTTTCACTTGGGTAATGAGCCCCGGTCTTTATCTCTCCAAATTCTCCCGCATCTGTATCTCTTTCCTTTCTTACCGCAGAGAAGGAGGTGGCCATGCTCTTGCTGCTAATCTCCAGCCCTCACACTGGACAGGATTTCTGCAGCCCTCAAACACCTTAAATCCCATTAGCATTTTGTCCAGTCTACGTATCCTTTCGCCCAACCACAGATGTTTATAATGTGGGACCACATATTGCCACATGGTGCGTTTTCTACTAGAAACAATTGTAAGGGTTCAGCTCTGATAGCTTGACTGGGCATTGTATGACCAGCAAGTTCTCTGGGTATAAGAAACAACATGTGGCATTTCAGAGTTGGCAGTCATGGTCTCCTTCCTGAGAACACCCTACCCTTCCTAAGAGTTACAGTAAAACGTTGTAGAATTACAAAGTATCATATTAATTAGACACAGTGCAAATTTTCTAATAGGAATGTTAATATTCTTATCCAGTATGGCAAGACAACCAACTTTCATGGCATAAAGATGCTCAATTTCAATAGGTTAGTTTGCAGATACAACTGTTTGCATGTGAATCAGTGTTTCCCACCTGTTTTCTCATTTAGAAAGTTTGTCCAAGAATCATAGTTTTCTCCTCTGTCCAGGTCTGTTAAAGAATAATGTGGGGAATGGTAAATCTCAATTTCCCACCTAAATCTGTTTTGCTTACATTGAAAAACGTCCCAGAAGACAAGAAGAGTGCATAACTAGTCCAAGTGGATCCGGTCCAATTCCCACTCAGAAGATAAATGAAAAATAAACCACAGTAGCAAGAGAAAAGAAAGAAAAACTGGGGGGAAATCAAATGGGGTGGAGAGCCATGTATAAGAAAAGGAGCTGACATACTATTTAAACAATGTTCCCAAACCTTACCATCCACCTTCCCTCCTTCATCTTCCTCACAGTCTCATAAGAACACTCGGAAGCCACACACACCATAGCAGGGATAACAAACAGACGATGGTCATGATAGCAGAGTGCTATGTTGATCCCAAGTGAAGCTGTCAGAGAAGACCAGAGGGATACAGGGGCTACTCTGGGGATAAGCCTCTGCCAGTTGTGCCCCTTCTGCACCTGTTTTTCCACCCTCAGCTAAATCTCACCAAGAAATAAATGTAGAACACAAATCTAGGTCACGAAGGAAGCAAATATTAGATACATATCAAGTGATAACATAGAAGGATGAATTAGCCAGAATATTAAATTAGAAGAAATTAGCGACTCAATTCTAATAGTTTCTTTCTTTGGACACTCCAAAGAAAGGCCAGCTATTGGATAAAGAACTGAGCTAGAATTCTTCAGTATTTGAATCAGGGGGATATTTGTATTGGCATTTTCATAGAACTTTTTTTAATGGAGCCAGATGCAATTAATATGTGTGTTGCACAGATTAGGCCTTTAAAAACTTGAAGATACATCAATCAAACACAAGCACAGCTTTCTACTTACTTTCAAGCTTATTGACCTCCAGGTAATAGTTTTCAAGGTTTTCATTGACAGTGGGGATGCTTTTCAGCTTATTATAGGAGAGATCCAGCTCAAGTAGAGATGATACATTAAACGCATTTCCAGGGATTCCGCTATCAGCCAGGTCATTATGAGATAAACGCAGGTACTGCAGTCCCTTAAAACCCTTGAAATACTCATCGGGAATGTTGTTGATCTTATTGTTGTCTAGGTAGAGAGTTAGAAGAGAAGTAGGGAGACTAGAAGGCAGTTTGGTCATCTGATTGAAGCTCAAGTCAAGGTACTCCAGTGACTTAAGACCTTTAAAAGCAGCCGAAATGCCGTCATCTTTCAGTTGATTGTGTTGAAGGTGGATGAAGGTCAGGTTCACCAGTCCTTCCAAGGAGCCAAGCTTGGTGATCTTATTATTAGTAAGTTGCAGGTCCACCAGAGTTTTGGGGAGTGGGCCCACAGATTCCGTCAGGTTGTTGTAATTGATATGCAGCTTCTTCAGTTGTTTCAGTTTAGAGAAAATTTTTCCTTTGATCTTGGAATTCTCTAGAAGGTTGTGGTCTAGAATGAGCCACTGGAGGTCAGCGGTTACATTTTCAAAGGCCTTTTCATTAATATGGTCAATCTGGTTATGCCTCAGGTAAAGGTACTTGATTCCAGGGGGCACCATGGGCACGCTTTTCAGTTTCAGCTCATCGCAGTACATGGCGGAGGGGTAGTTTCCTGGGCAGTTGCACTCCGGGGCGCAGATGGGAGACCGCCCATACATCGACAGCGGGAAGTATTGATCATACTCGTAGTAATCTTGGCTGCTGGCACCACTTATTAGTGCCCAGAGGAGCGTAAAGACACCAAGATTCATTTTGGGCGAATGCTTTGAATCCTAAATAAAGCAAAAACATAATTTAAAATTGTGTCCTTTAAGGAAAAGGATATTCAATCTGCAACATTAACTGGATTAAAATGGGTATTTATAATTTTTTTTTTAAGTATGAGGATACAGAAGTATGTTTACAACTTGTGAGGCGAACAGGTTTGAGGTTAGATTGCATACACATGCGCCCCCTACTGGACGAGCCAGGCCTAACTGTTCCAGTCAATTTCTCCAGGTCCTTCCTTAATTCAATGCTTTCTTGCAAGAGGTGTCTGGGTGGTGCCCACTGACCAGCGTCTTACCACACCGCTTCAGAATACCCTTCAAAACCACAAAAACTGGAAATGAGAAGACAATTACAAAGTGTACTCTCTACCCTACCATTCAACATCATTAAAATGTCTCATTAAGAAGACCCTTGCTGGGAACATGAGCGATCTGAGGTTTTGCTTGAAGGAAAGCTGTTGTTAACGTGTGTGGCCGGAGGTGGGGGGGGCGAGGGGGAGGGGGCTGGGAGCCTGAGCACATTCCTTTAGGAATGTCTGGTTACTGTTATTGGTCCTGAGGAAGGGGAACAGAATTCTTGGTGGGAGGGGTGTACATGTTATTTCAACTTTTGTTAATATTCCATACTTTTAGGCACATTACAAAACTGTGTTATGAAATTGATATTTTCTATAAGTTTTAGTAAAACTAATATGTATTAATCAGGAAAATGTCAAAAATTCTAAACATTTTTAAGCCTAGAAAGAGATCCCAACTGACAGAAAAAGATCTTCTTTTCAAAGTTTTGAATTATAGTGTTTCTTTTCTGTCAATAACCCACAAGTTCTCTCCCTTCTTCTTCATGTGGAAATGGAAGAGGGCAATGGCTCACCTATTTGGATTTTAGTCCCCTTACAGCATGGGACTGGGAGAGAGCTGGGCATTGAGGCAAGCCTATATTTTACAGTGACATTGCGGGGCATCTAAGAAAGGACACAATTGAGAATATAAATTAAAAACGATCTGTAACAATGATCTAATATGAACACGTTTTTAAGGTGATACTCAATAAAGTATATTTTAATTGCTTGGGCTAGCACAGGGTCAGAAACTTAGGTAAAGGACAATAAGGATATGAGAGTTGGACTTTTGTAGAGATGGCTGAGGAGAAGCTGGTAACTGAGAGGGAAATCCTGAATGTGAAGTAATGTCAATATTCCAACAAATACCATAAGGCAGTATAGTATAAGTTTATGAATCTATGGACTTTGGGATGAGTAGGATTTTTAGTATTAGCAAGTTTAGTCATCCTTGCTTTAACTTGGAATTACAAGGCGCTTTATTTTAGTAGATGAAACACTAAAAAACAGGTGTTAGAGACACTCTGATAGCTAACACAATGTAATCTGTAACCAGATTCCTAGTACATTATTCCCTAAAATAATGATGGAGTCACTGAATTTAGTTGACAGGACTTGGCCATGAGAACAATTATATGGCTAATGTATTTATAGGATTCTTTATAAGGTCCAGTATGTTGTAAAAAAAAAAAGAAAAATCTTGTTTTATTAAAAAGCTTTCAGTTTATTTCAATTCAGTATACACTAAAATAGACATAGTAACTATAACATATTGAATAGTAATGAAAAACTGTTTCATATGTTTTGGCAGAGTAAAAACAAGGGCTCTGAATTCAAAGAGAGACTGTAGCCATGTAAGGATTCCACTATGAAGTAAAAATGTACTTTATTTACTTCCCCCCCAGTTTTTGCAAATACCTGTGGTTATGAAGGAAATGCTTTAAAAAATCATATTTCCCAGAACTTCTTTAAAACATACATCCAAAAACCTAGTCTTTAAAATTAACAAAATAGAAATAAGTAATTCATGAGAGGGTTTAAGTCCTTTAGTTCACATTTTATGACAACATAAAATATTTATGGCAAATTGTAACAAACTATAGCAATACATGTATGGAAAAATATTTTTAATACTGCTCGAAATGGCCTTCTTTTGCTGCAAAATTAGTTCTTACAGTACAAACATATATAACTCGTTAGCATAAAATAACAACTATTTTAATTGTCATACATTTTCACTGTCTAGTTTAAATATTTTCTCATTCCAGCTCTGAAACTTTTTATAACTTTCTTTGCCAAGCAACACAGCATATACTATATAAAATTTATCTCAAATCCATAAATCATGGAAAACATATTAAGAAAAGTGTGAGAGTAAAAGCTCAGAACTATGGATTTGCTGTTGAATAGCAATTGGCAAAGTTGCTCTGGAATTTTTTTCTGTTCCTGTTACAATAAACACTGTCCCAAACAGCCATCGTCCCCAGTGCTATAGTTAAAACAGCGCTTACCTTACTGTCTTGACTCTGCTTTCGTTAATTCTTAAAGCAGATGCACTATGGACAAGAATCCACCAATATATGCTGTGAACTCTGTCGGGACCGGACTGGCTGCCAGATTCCTAGTGATACAAGAGCTGAAGGGGGGAGGCCAGCCCAGTCACGCCAGTCTCTGAATGGAGTTATGTCATCGTGAGGATCTTGGGGTTATGGCATGGGAATGCTCTCTCCCTAACGAAGTGCAGGTGGACAGATGAGAACGACAGCCCAGTCCATTCCCTATGGAATGGGAGAACGACACACACTCAACCAGCCCAAATGCCATAGCTTTTAACCAAAAACTTAGTCCTGCTGCAAGGGAGGTATCTAGGGTGAGAACATTTCTCTTACAAAGCTCTTTACTTCTGCAGCTGTGGCAAAAATGAAATGAGATTCTCTCAGCCAACTGTCATGTTTCTCTAAAGGTCTCATAAAGCGTACACAGAAGAAATAATTTCAGGAAAATGCAAATGAGCGGACTCAGAGGAATTGAATTCTTTTGCCTATTACTCTTGAAATCTATACTGATTTATTAGGACTAACAGTTTTTGGCCAGGAGGGTAACTTACATTAGTTTCTGAAATATGAAAAGTACTTTATTTACACTTTGGTACAAATGATAAATATCAACCTTTCCAGCTTTCTTCTAATGTTAAGGGGACACTTTTTATGCTTTTTTAGGTCTGGAACCAATCAACAATGTCCTGTCTGTTTCTTATTTTGTGGATTCAATTTAGGAATTCATCCAAAATCTTACTTAGGGATAGTGTTCTATAGCTTAATGCCAAAAAACATAAAAGAACATTTTTTAAAAGTATACCAAAATATCACAAGGCAATAATCTTTCACTGTGTCATTGCATGCTAGGAATATACTTTTTTCAAAACTAAAAATTATACAACATTGTAATCTCTCAAAGACCTGGTTTGATGTGTCTATGATGGTCAGTTTCTGATACATGGGTCTAGAAAATGAAAGATCTAGTCATTTGCTTGTGTATTTCATTTTGTGATTGTATCAGCTGTATTTACAGGATTGTTGTTGTTTTTTTCCTCCAAAATTTTTATTTATTCAGGCTTATAAGAACTCTTAGAACTGGGCATTTTAATATAAGTTGCCACATTATAAGACTTTTTCCTTTTAAAATAATTTAAATGTTAATTTTAAACTATGAAACCTGTGAAAAGCTATTTATTCTTCATGACCACTAATGTGTTTGCCTGAAAAATTAATATTGAGATAAATGGCTTGCTTTTGTCACAGAACCATTAGAAAACAAATAACAATCTTCTTGGAAGTAACTCATAGAATAGTAAGGTGATTCACAGCATATTTTTTTATTATTTTAGAAAAAATTATAGGAAGACCTTAGTTTTCTAATAGAGGAAATTAATAAACTTAGAAGAAATCAAGAATAAAACGACAAACAGACCAATCACACAATTAAGTGACTCATTGCAAGAGGATAGTTGACACAATTCTAAGCATTAATTTTGTGTAAAATTATATAATCTGAGATTTTGTTTCAAAAACTCCAGCTATCTACTCCTAGGGTTTTTCTTTGTGAAGCAATAACATTTTTTTTACTTAAAATTTTACGCTTTAAAATCCATATAAATATTATCATCACATTTTCAGAAGTAGCAAAGGAGGCTCAGAAAGTCTAAATAACTTGTGAAAAGTCACTTAGTGAGTAAATAGAAGAAGAAAATCATAAACATTTTCAGTCGTTAGGAAGAGCGTGAACAGGATGTAGCTAAGACAAGGTAGTTAATATAATCAGTTTGAAATAGTTTATAGGCAATATTAGTATCAGTTGAGAAAACACTGAAATATTGAGAAATAGTTTTTAAGTGGTAAAAATTAAGCATTAGTTTCTTCCATTGTATATCAGAGAGAGAGAGACAGAGGCAGAGAGAGAGAGAGAGAGCGAGAGAGAGAGAGAGAGAGAGCGCGCTACATCCACACTTTAGACCTCTGGATGACATATGAGCTTTCCACCCTGGTACATGAAGATTCAGGTCATTTGTGTTCATGGAAGTGAGAGGTTTCATCGATATCCATGTTTAAACGATTGGGTTCCAACTGGATTCCCTCTGTTACCTGAGACCAACAGGGATCATTACAATGATTTTACCCACCTCGTTCTGAGTCCAACCCTGGACTCTTCAAACCCCGTGGCTCACCACAACTTCATTTTCCATAACCATTCTGATGGCTGGCCGATTCTGCTTGTCCCGGGCTCACTAGTCAGTCCTGGAATAGAAAATAGTAGAACCCAGATTTTGTGGAAAGATAGATACAGATTAGAAATTTTCTCAAGCAATCTACCAAGAGTAAAAAAAAAAAAAAAAAAAAAATGTAACTTGTAGCTTTAATTTCTTCATTTTTAAATGGATATGATGATGTCTGTAGAAAAATTTATAAGCAGCAAAAGTCACCATGTATATAATGCTATTGGTATAAGTCTTGGAATAATATAAGAGATTGATACAATACAATGCTTAATTCCTTATAGGTATTATTAGTTATTATTCATAGAGTTACGGAACCGCAGATTTGGAATAAATCTAATCAACGGATATTAAATTCTGTGGAAGGTCTTATTTTTTTTTTTCATGTGAAGAGCTAAAACTAGTTTGTTAGCTATACTCATCCAAACTGCAACATTGTTCTCCATTTGGGGTAAAGAGATGGCAGTCCTATTTCCTGCCACTCTGTGTGCCGCGCTGTGTCACTGTGCATCTATTAAGTGAAGTCATCTGAGAGCATAGAATCCGATGAAGCAGAATGACAAGTCCCTATTATTAAAGAAGAAAGTTCTAATTTTATCATCTTATATAATGGGGTTACAAACTCAACTTTTCCCTATTACAAATTTCATAAAAGTTGTCTTTTTGAACACATTTGGAAAATACAGAATTTAAAAAAAAGAAAATAAAAATTTTAGCACATTTAGAGAATACAGGGGAAAAAAAGATGAAAACAAATCTTCTAGCCCAAAGATAATCATCTTTTGGTGTTTTGTCTACGGTGTGAGTGTGTACACATACAAACTCACAGACACCTTGGTTTTCCCAAGAATATTACAATATTATGCTTATAGTTTTGTATCTTTTTCCACATAGCAATTAGTTGTGGATACATTTACATATAATTAAGTATTATTCTCTAATGTCATTTTAATTTTCTAGATGAAACTATTATATAAATGTACCACAATGTAGTGGTTATTTTTGAATATTACAGCCAACACTTGCTTTCTGTCATAATTTGCAAAGCGCTATGATACACAATGAAATTTTATTCTTCGAATTAGTTGTATCTAATGTGTCTACTCTGCTTTTCTCACTAGATACATTTAAAATTAAAATGCCTTTTCAGTAAATGGTTTGTAGTTTGAAATCAGACAATAAAGGAGTGAATTAGAGTGTTTTCTCTCCTCTCATCAATCTTATTACTGTTATTAATTTTTACATTTCTCATGAGCCATTTAACAAGCTTTTATCTTCACAATCCCTATGCTCACATGGATGGATATTTTTAAACTCATTCTAGAGTTGATTATATTTATCTTGGCATTTTCCATAAATCATGCTTTTAGAATGATCAATAGTACACTTGATTGTAATATCACTTTCATTCTTTTGCTGTATTAAAAATATACATGAATAGTGTAACATGCTGAAACATTTAACAGCACACCAGGGTATAAGGTTAAAATAACCTGTCCCCCAACTAAATGTCCAATCCTACTCCCTAGACATGCTCATTGTTGAGATTTTATTATTTCAGATATTTCAGACATCCCTATATATACAACAGAATTTCATTTCCCGCTCTCTCTCTCTCTCTGTTTCTTTTGTCCTATATGTCCTGTACTTTTCACTTGAAATATTTTTCTTATTTTGTCTTGTTAATACATATAACTTTGCATTATGATTTATGTGGTTACAAAGTACCCCACTGCATGATTATATCAAATATTACTAATGTCTTTGCTCAATGGTGAGTATTTCAGTAGTTCCAATGTTTTTCTTTGTTGTTTTTATTACTTAATTTTTACGAAGAACAGTGCTATGGTGAGCCAATTTTGTGCACTAACGAAGTATAGCTTAAGGAAATTCCAAAAGGAGATTTTCTGGAGGAAAGTATATGCACATTTTAAGACAATGCAGTTATTGCCTAACTGTCTCCACAATGTCCTTCTGATTATCACTGTCATCGATGGTATATGAGAACATATTTTCAGCACCCGTTCTTGAAGGGTAGATATGTTCAAGTTTAACAATTCTTTGATCTTGTTTAAGTTTTATTTCTTAGGTAATATCTGGTAGTGCCAGTTCCCTTTCTTTGTTCCTTACTTCCGGTTTGTGGGACCTTCAATGACATGATGCTGCTGGAGTTCTAGACTCTGTCTCCTTTTCCTCCTCTTCCTCTCTCTTGTGCTGTAGGCATTTTGGACTTCACCCGAGTCTTCAGCGATTCCAGGACGGTTCCCACTTCGGGGCCTTTACAGCTGTTCTAACTGACTGAAGTGTTCTTCCCACCAGCAGTATTTACCACGTTCAAAATTAAAACTAAGAAACATTCTAAACCTGTAAACAATCCATTAAGATAACGAGAATGAATCTCTTATGTGTTCATGTACATACCTTTTATGAAAAATATCTATATTTTCCAAAAAATACTCAGAAGAGGGGAATTATTTTATATTTTACAAATCTATTTAATAAATGGCTTAATATAAGGGGGCTGGGTTCTTACAGCTGTTTCTTTGTTCAATCTGTTGTGCTATGGCTTGGTACATATGAAGAAAATCTCATCTTACGCAGATATTTAAAAGAATAAAATCTTGCCCTTTGAGACAACATGGATGGACCTACAGGGTATCATGTTAAGTGAAATAAGTCAGAAAGAGAAAGACAAATACCATGTGATGTCACTTATATGCAGAGTCTAAAAAAGTAGCAAAACAAATGAACAAGCAAAACAAAACAGAAACAAACTCATAGATACAGAAAACAAACTGAAGGTTTCCAGAAAAAAGTGGGTGAAGAGGTAAAGGAGAATAAG